TACCATCTTCAGATCAAAGGTTAAAAGCAGAAGACATCTTTTTGCTCACACTTACCTTTTAACTTCAGACATTTCTCTACAGATCTTTCCTCTCTCATCCTCAGTATGAGGATTCAGCCTTAGAATTGACTCACAAATGCAGGAAACTAATTATTTTCATGGACTAAACCGGATATGCTCTGTCCAGGCAGTGCCTGAAGGGAAAAGGTTTGAACACTTCTTCACTCACCTCTGGAGAATATCTAGCCTCCCTAGCATATTATCTCAATGGCTTTTACAGTTAATCTGTTACACATTTGAAAGTAAGCGTTTGCTGTACACCAGAATTTGCAAGCATAAACATAATCTTAGTATTAGTAATACCATCCTCAAAAAATTACTAAGAACAACTAGCCTAAAGAAAAAAGAGCATCATCCAACCTCTGAAGCTCAGCTGCCTGCTGCAAGTTCTGGAGGGAGACAGAGCTCTGCAAAACATTTAGAACATATGCATTTACAATATATCAAGTCACAAAGTAAAATTTTAAGTGAGGCCCTGTGATGTGCAAAACATATCCTAAGTAATGCAGCATTCAGGATCTCAGCCCTCACTGCTAGAGGGCACACACATAGTACTGGGACAGGATGGTCCCATTGCTAAAATTAAGTCAATAATCAACCCTAAGATAGAAACACATCTACATTTATGGTAAGGTTATACTGATTGGCTGTAGGAGCCACCAGGCATCCAGCCAATTTGCTTTTCCAGTCTAAGGGAATGCTCGGTTTCTTTGAAAAATGTTTGGTTTGGGTTTTTTTTTCCTGCAGTGAAGAATGCATTGACGTCATCAGACTGGGTCTGCTGAACAAAAGCATGGATCCAGGGTTGTGTTAAGAAGCTGAATTGCAAGAGAAATTATATTCATCTGTTTCAGCTTTCTTTTAGAGTGACAGGGACAATTCCCAATTCTCCTTTATCACAGTCTCCAGGAGTACTGCTAGAGGCAAAAGTGACTCGCTAGGACTTTCAGTTTCCACTGTTTTGTTCCACTCTCTTTTATTGCTCCTGTGAGTTTTTTAGATAAACAGCAGTATCTATGACTCCACAGGCCTGTGTATCAGATCACTACTACTAATAGGAACATGCTGCATGCCAGAACTTTGTGATCTGATTTGGTGTAACACCATGCAGCACCCTTACAAAACCAAACCAAACCAAACCAACAAACCAACCAACCACAGGGTGTTCATACACCTCTCTAATCACACACTGTTTTCCCACTTCTATGCTGTTGTATCAGCTTCTACACCCACAGAACAGGGTGTTTGAGCCAGTACAATGCTTCGCTACCACATCATCTGACCAAGAACCTTTCACTATACCACTAACCCAAATGATTTACAGTGTATTAAAAAAGGATAAGGGTAACATCAAATTGTCAGAATCCAGTCATATCACACTGCAACAAAACTGCCAACAGCTACAGCAGTTATAGATCCTTCTGGTCCACAAGACCATAGAGTAAAGGGTGCAGCAGCTGTGTGGAGTAAGATCACAACTTTAATGTTTCACAAAAGATTTGGAAAACAATGGGAAAAATATTCTACCATACAACTGTACTCAGTAAGAGCTCATGATTAAAGAACTTACGCCACTCCCATAATTTCCCAATAGGGTTGTCTGGTGCTTGTGACAAGTCACAGAATGGAATAGGTTTGAACAAAGGAGATGCAAGAGAGTTGTGTGAGTAATGGATTACTCAGTCTATTACTAAGCATGCTAGTAGTTGAATTAAAACTCAAAATGATGTTGTTCTGAACATAGATGATGGAGGGGAGAAGCAAAACAGAGAAGAAAAATAAAACAAAATGCAGACAGGAAGTTAAACAAAAATACTTTACTTTGGGCTCAATTAAGTGTCTGAGCTTTATCCCCTTCCCTCTAAGCTAATTTACAAAATATGATTCACATAACGAAATGTTTCATTTTAAATATCTCCAAAATATATATTGTATTCTCTCCTATTTCCCTCCCTTTCAAGACAAATCAAGTTGTGTTCTCTAATCCATCTTTTAACTCAAACTATCTACCTACTAAAGGGATAGAGGAATAAGTCAACATATACAAGAAAATACAAAGCTAATATGAAGACAATTGTAGTGAGAGTTCATAACTCAAATTCAACAGCTTCTGAATTTCTTACATTAGGGAATCCCAGTGTAAGTTTTCTGTGCAGCAATTATTTTCTAACATGTATTGCAGGTCAAAGGAGAATTTAAATTTCATTTAATTATTCTGGTTAAGTTACTCTACATGAATCTACTTACTCAATTCTAATGAAAAATAACTGCTGAATGATTACCCATATGCTAAAACAAACCTAAACCAAGTTTGTTTGTTGTGTTTTTTTTTAAGCAGCAACAGTATACTTAAACTTTAAGACTCTGTAACAATTTATTCTTAACAAAGAAATCAGCAGAAAGCAAGTCAGATCTAATGGTTCCAACCCCCAATTATTTTTCAATATTTTGAGATGAGACCAATATGATGCACAGGCCTCTGGGCCCTCAATCTCATTTTATTTCACCTTGAAAAAAATTTATTTGTAGACCAATTAAGGTAGTCTTCTCAAAAATGTATCAATTCATACGGTTACAACACACTGACGGATTCAGTATCTTGAGGTGCAAGTAGGCTTCTGGAGAGGGAAGAAAAGGTTTTATTCCAGTTAAGGCATGAATAGAGATTCCAGCTCAGCAAGTCTCAAAGCCAGAACACTGCAGTTGTTTTGTCCAGAATTACTCCTTACGTGTTTTTGAACAGAACTTCCTATGGCTGGTGCATATATGTAGACACAGAACAAGAAGAAATAAAAAAACAACCTCCCACAAATCAAAACAGCATCCTAAGTAAATAAAAAAGTTCACTTCAATTCTAAAACCTTACATTTTTAAAGGCGAAGTTGCAAAAGAACTAAATGTCAGTCTCCTGTGTGTTAGCTGTTCTTGGACTTAAATCCCGTCCCAGTCTGCTCCCTCTTTACAGGTTAGGGAAGGTCCAAAGCCATCTGGTGGCAAGAAAAATAGTGCAATGTCTTGTGCTCCTGCTTAGCATTACTGACTGACATCTGAATTAAGATTTAGATGCAAGGTTAGTAAAGAAAATAGCCAAGGCTGCCACTTTTACCAGCCAAAAAAAGCTACTGCAACCCAAGGAACACCGCAAAGACAAAAACAGTGACCTTACATGTTCATCAACACCAACTCAGGATGGCCAAACAATAAACAAAAAATCCTCCTAACACATTGCTGTCTCTTGGTTTGTATCCAATATATATATATTAAAACAAACAAACAGCTACAGTTATTAACTACACGAGATATGAATGCAAGTCTTACGCAGACACTATTGTTTTGACAAGAATCTGGTGGCTTCTCAAATGTCTCTCAAAGTTCCCTACTAAGTCAAAAACACCCCTCTGCAGGACAGACACACGCGCCGTCACCGCCTGTCTGGGGGGCAGGGGGGAGTGCAAACCACAGGCACCCAATAGATGTTACTACATTGGTGGAAGGCATCAGATAATTAGGGCAAGAAGCACACCGGGGTGGTACTGAAAGCTGAGTGATGCCTGCTGAGGGCCCAGTCATGTCAGGTTTTGGTTTTAGGATAACTCTGCTGAGCTTTCTGCTGCACCAGCCGCCCAGATCCAGACAGCACTGCTCACAAGTCCCTACTCCACCTCTACCCGCACGCGAATTTCCGCCAAAATTAACAGCCTCGGGTACATATTGATTTGTATTTGCCCAGTAGGAACTGTAGATGTGTAACACAGGCACTACACCCAAGGGAGGTGTCTCTCATTTGTCACACTCTGTACTGCCACTGGAAAGGCAAAAAGTTGGTCATTAAAAGGTGCTCCAAAGGCAAAAGGTGTCAGCGGTACGTTTTTATTTTGTCCAGAAGTGGTTAAAAAGCCTGAAATATTTAAAATAGCAGCTAGTTCTTGGTGATGTTATCAACTCAGCCTATCTGTATGTCAGCTAAGAGCCATACCAGCACAAAAATCTGAAGGGTTTCTGAAATTCTGAGTCATAAACCACTGAAAAATGGTGCTTAAATTGAGATGCCAGCTCAACTGCAACCATGGCCTTCCCAAGGCAACAGCATCACATAAAACCTGAAAGATCAAAACACATAGTGATGACTGAAACCATCACGTTATTTCTAATGTGATGGAGGAGGCCAGACTGCCAGCATTTCAAACCACTGAAGCTTGCAGGAAAAACACGAGAGTTACTGGAGACAGAAGTCACAGGCTTAACTAATCATTTCAACAGGGCAGCAAAAGGCAGTATCTCCTGCTGCTGCAGCAAGTGCAGCCTATACTGAAGGACTGCTCCATGCCTACCTACCTATTCAGAACGGCCTGCTCCAAGCCTGTCCTTACCAATATTGCAAAATTGGAGTTTCTGCCATTGCTGGGGAGGCAATTGCTCTGCTCAGCCGCTGAAGCACATCAAGCAAACAAAGCAAAAGCAAAGTCTGTCAGCGTTTTGCATCACGATCTCGGGGCCATGCCTGGCATTCACAAGCTGCCAAGCGGGTGCATCCGACGCCGTACGGTCCCCGTGCAGAGCGTGGTGCCCACGGCACCCAAGAGGGGTCGGCGTGCCCATTGCCCGCAGCTCAGCGCAGGGAGCAGGGCTGCCCGGGGTGCTCCGAGGGCAGGGGAAGCCCCCGAGCTCAGGCAGCCACCCCCA